CTTGTCTCCCCAGAGTCTATAGCCATGTTATTTTCATGGAGGATCCTCTCTTCCACTCTATGCTTTTTCTAAATGGTTATTTTTCCTAAAAGTCCTTTTGATTGTGTTGTGGCGCACCCACCTCCCTCTAAACATTAATAGCAAAAGCACTCGGGAAGGAATAATCAACAACAATGGACTACCTAAAAAATTAATGTGTTGATAGATCATGCAACAATTTTAGACTTCAAAAATACATTTCTACGACCTTCACTTCAAATGAGCAATAAATCTTAATTATTATCTTACAACACACATTTTTGGTAGTAAGCCTTGCAACTTTCACATGTCAAACCTTGCAACTTGTGGCAACATCAAGGTGTTAGCATATAAAACTTTTACTGCAAGTCTAGACTCAGGCTTGAGTGAGAGTTATATTATTTTGCAATTATACGATAATGTCGAACAATACTTTCATGTGTCAAGGCCTTTCACACTTTTCAAGCAATTGAAGTCTAATCTTTTGGAGAGCTTCGACAACCTCCCTCATGCTAATCCTCTCTTCAGGTGATTCTGTAGAGCATTTCAAAGCCAATTCCAATACGGATGATACACATTGCACCTTCAGAGTCAAGTATTCGTCTTCTAGCATTACTAAGTTGGCATCTATAACTTGGATTATCTCATTTGGTGGGCAATCATTCACCCAATTCTTGAGGCTCAAATCTCCGGTGAACTTTTCATCACAGGGATTTGTCCTTGTAAAGGTCTCCATCAATATAATGCCATAGCTATAAACATCACACCTTGTAGAGACTAATCCTTCCAATCCATACTCTACATTCATCAGCAAAATTATAATGCTTGTAAGGAACTTTACACTTTGTATGATACTATATTGCAAAAAAAAAAAACCCGACGTTGTAAAGAGAATCCAAATGCAAAAAAAGGTATAAATTAAAAAGGTAGAAGCATCACCTGGTGCAATATACCCTAATGTTGCCAGAGTCTTGGTTAGTGCAGTACTCTCCTCACCCAGTAATTTTGCAATGCCAAAATCACTAACATGTGCAACCATATGTTCATCTAACATGACATTGCTGGGCTTTAAGTCACAATGGATCACAGGACTCGAGTAGCCATGGTGGAGATAATCCAATGCATGTGCGACATCTATCATTATATCTAATCTTTGCCAGATGTCCAAGAAATAGTTATGGGAATACAACCACTTCTCAAGGCTTCCATTGGGCATATACTCGAGGACTATTGCTTTGAAATCAAGATTAGAGCAACTGCTGATAACTTTGGTAAGATTTCGGTGGCGAAGGTTGCGCAATACTTCACATTCTGTATCAAAGCACTTGAATGCACCTTCCAGTTGTAAATTGAAAACTTTTACAGCCAAATGTGTTCCATCTGTCAAAATTCCTTTGTAAACTGAACCAAATCCACCCTTGCCAAGCAAGTTGATTTCACTGAACTCGTGAGTTGCACGTCGAAGTTCGTAGTATGAAATTCTTCCATGGGTTATTGCAGGTAACAAATCATTTTCATGGGGAACATGACTTCTCCTTTTTTGTTTGATCAAAAAGAATATCAAGGCCAAGGCCAAAATAGTAGATCCAACTGCCAGTGAGATATATGCAGCTAGAAGTATTCTTTTCTTCTTTGATCTTTTAAGAGAACTACTCTTGCAGAGAGGCACTAGCAACCTCGGTGGACCACACAAATCTTCATTTGGCAAAAAAGACTGATAAGTGAGGTTTGCAAAAGGTCCACCATTTGGAATTTCTCCTCTTAATTTATTGTGAGATACATTGAGGTATTTTAGAAGCAAGAGCGCCTCTAAGGACTTTGGAATTGTTCCAGAGATATTGTTATGAGATAAATCCAAAAACTCTAGGCTTACCAATTTTGCAAGTGACTCAGGTAGGGGTCCCTGCAATCTGTTATGTGCTAATGATAGAATCGACAGACCTTGTAGGCCTACAATTGTGCTAGGGACAATACCTGATAATCGATTCCTCGAGAGATCTATTTTTGTCACAACCTTAAGCCTTCCAATTTCTGGTGATATATACCCGGTTAAAGAATTTGAAGACAAGTTCAACTCCAAAAGATCTTTGAGTCTCCAAAGGCTTGTGGGTATGCTGGAAGTTAATTTATTAGAATCCAGATAGAGGTATCTTACAGAAGTAATATTTTCAAAGCATGTTGGCATAGAGTTAGAAAACTCATTTTTGCTCAAATCTAGAAAACCCAGGTTCCTTAAATGGCAAACACCACTCGGGATAGATCCTGGTATTCTGTTTTGTTCAAGATGCAAAATTTGAAGTTTCCACAACTCTTTGATTGTCGGCGGAATCAATCCATCTATGTCATTGTGATCAAGGTCCACGAATGCCAAATTGGTTAAATTGCTGATCTCATTAGGAATGTTCCCCTTAATTGCACAATTGCTTGCATGGAGAGTATAAAGAGAAGTGGAGAGATTGCCAATGTAAACTGGAAGAATGCCATTGAAAGGATTTCCAGATATGCTCAATACCCTTAGTTGTCTGCAATTTATCAAAGAAGTGAAGAAGGTTAACCCCATAGATGAGGATTCACTGGTAAAGTTGTTACCTGGCAACACAAGATCTTCAAGGAGTTCTAGGCTACCCAATGATTTGGGTAGTGTACCAGAGAATTGGTTGAAACCAAAATATATTTTGGTGATTCTAGAAGCATTTGAGATGGAGTTGGGAACAATTCCATTCAAATTATTCCATCCAAGATATATTTCTTTAAGATTAGGTAGCCAAATGCCCATACTTGATGGAAGAGTGTCTGAAAGATGATTGTTCTGAAGGTATATGATTTCTAGTGTCGTGATGTTGAAAATTACTGTTGGAATTGGACCATTGAGGTGGTTGAAACCCATGTCTACATAAACCAAATTGTTAAGATTGCCAATTTCATGTGGAATAGCACCTGAAAATGTAAAAGAAAAAGTAAGTTAATGCTACCAATTCTCTCTCTCTCTCTCTCTCTCTCTTTATATATATATATATAGACACACACACTAGTGGTCCTGCACACGGTCACCTGTGTTCAATTTTAGAGTGAGATTAGAGAAAAGTGAGAGAGATATGAGGGTTATAAGAGATAAACTACAAGAAACTATTTATGATTATGGGTAGCTAAGATAAAAAGAGAAGAGAAATATTATGAGTATTTTAAATGTAGACACCAAACTCACCTCCTCTCTCGTTATATATATATATGGAATTGATGGCCAATACCTTTAGGTATATACTTTTTATACGTACTGTTAGATCGTGATTTAACTATCACTAATCAAAGAAGCCCAAGATTAAATTTAAAACTTACCAAGTTTGGCTATTAACTTATAACCAATTAACAATGCCATATTCATGATACTCCTAATCATATGAGGAACGTCTATTTCATTTTACAATCAGATTAAATCTTTGAAAAGTAAGAAAAAAAATTGAATACTGTTGCCAAGTGGGTCAACCCAGTGACCTGGGCTAGTTTAGGCCAATCTTTTATAACCCATATAGTTATACTATACCCGTTTAGCTTATTGATTGCTTTGTTGCTTAAACATGCTAGAAAGCTCCAATCACATAATTACTTAGTTAAATTAATAGAGTAATTGATTGGAATAAATCGGTCCGCGTCATTGACTTGACTTGAAAAGATTATAAAACACTCAATGATGAAAGAAAAAATAAAATAAGATTTAATTGTATGATTAATATTTTTTTGCCTTAATGGTTAGGGTGATATTTAATACGACATCAATATTACTTTTTTAGCTAATATTTAAATTTAATAGGTTTTAACAATTAATTTAGTACTTTTTAACTAAATCAATCCAACAACTGCAGTTACTTAGGTATCATTTTTTTATACACATAAATAAAAAAATCATATAATTTTCAAGACAGGTAAGTATTTTTTAAATATTATTGACTATCAAATGTCAAAAAGATATAAAAATGTTAATTACACAAAGAACAGGAATCTAAACGTATGTTTAAGAAAATGATAAAAAATTATACCTTTCAAATTAAGATTACCAAGATATAGAACCATGAGCGAAGTACAGTTCCCAATACTTGTGGGAATGTCTCCCGTAACTGCCTTGTTATAGGAAAGAGAGATTGTCTCAAGCTTAGGAGCATCCAAGCACATATCCCATGGTAGACTCCCAGACAAGTTATTGTCTTTAAGACTAAGGAACTTTAAAGAAGTGGTGTTGAAAATAGAAGATGGTATGTGACCGACAAGTCCATTTTTCGCCATGGATACTACCTCCAAGTTCAGATAGCCTATCTCATGTGGGATTTCACCTGCAATATTCAAAATGTGGACCATACTAACAAATTATGTATATATTGTTGGAGATTAAACCAAAGCTAACAAATTATTTATGTATTCTGTCATCATATGTAGTTAGTTTCCATTATCGGAATCTCACATTCTTGGGAAGCACTACATGGGAGTCTATTATGTTTTGTTGATGAGTCTGTGGTGGTAGACTCAACATTCGAAGTGGCAGATCCTTGTTTCGGGTGCTGCAATTGGTTTCCATATATTGCTTTTTGTAATATCACCAAATTTCAATATTTGATGGTACTCACGATCAATCTAATAACTATAATGAATTTTGTCGGCAAATTAACACAATATGCAACTAAGCTTATATGCAATTGTTTGGCCAAGCCTGTGGCCATCGCTAACACCTTGTTTGTTAGCACTCACGAATATGCTACAATAACAATGACACATTATGCAGAGATTACCTTCCAGTGTGTTGTCTGTAAGATCCAAACTCTTCAGCATGGTCAAGTTGCTGATTCCTCTAGGTATGCTACCTGTGAATTTGTTATAGGGCAATGATAAAATTCGAAGCTTCCCGCATCTGTACCAATTGGATGGGAGAAGACCTTGAAACTGATTAGAATTAAGATAGATTTCTTTGACATCAGGTAGTTGACTACATATACCTCCTGGGATGGGACCAGATAAACTATTTTTTGTAAGAATAATCTGTTCCAATGAAGACATGTTGAAGATGAATTGTACGGAACCAGAAAGCTGGTTACCTCCCAATCTCAATATTTTCAAGCTGGAAAGGTTACCAATTGCTTTTGGAATATGTCCTTGTAGATGATTAGTCGATAACCGCATCACCACAAGGCTAGTGATGTTGCCAAGGGAAGGCGGGATAACACCAGTGAAACTATTATAATGCATGTTCAAGACTTCAAGTTTTGGTAAGATTCCAAACCATGATGGAACCTCCCCGCTAAGAGAGTTGTATCCCAAATCAATTTCTTTCAATCGACGCAAATGACCCAACTCCTCGGGGACATGGCCGTGGAAAGTGTTGTTACTGAGTTTGAGTGAAGCAAGAAATGAGAGATTTCCTAGATATGGAGAAATGGTGCCATTAAGACCCATGTTGGGAAGATTCAAGGTTGTGACTCTTTCGTGACGAACGCCACAAGAGATGCCAATCCAATTGCAAACTGGGGTGGTGGTGGACCAATTTTTTACCAGAATATTTTGACGGTCAAACCTGATTTGAGCTTTGAAGGCAAGAAGAGCTGATTGATCGGAGTCTAAGTTAGTTTCAGTCCTTGCAAAGCAAGCCATGAAACTATTTGCCCACAAAAGTGTGGCAGAAAAGAGAGAAATGAATTTCTTCATGAGGGTGTTAGGTTTGGAATATGGACTCACGCAGCAGAGAAGACTTGATTGGTGAAAGATGGTGACTAAGATACTTATAGAGATGCCAAAAGGAAGCTTCATGTCAAGGATACTATTTTTGGTCATAGTAATGACCCCACCACTATCCAGAGTCGGTGATAAAAAAAAACACAATCGGCCACACTTGTTTTCATCTAAAAAAGGTTTCATCTAGTCCTTTAAAGAAAAATTAGTTTAAGATCATCAAATATTGTATTAGTTTTTACCAAAGATGTAGTTGAGGATGTTAGTTAGTGGCGGAGCCAAAAATTTCATAATATGAATCTAATATAAAGTAATCTCGAAACAAATTTAGTTGAATCTTACGTACTAGTACACAAACCAAATAAACCCTGTGAGAGTTGAAAAATAAAAAATTGTCAACAATTTTTGCCTTTCTTTTACACTAAATTCGGCAGAACACGAGTATTAAAACCGGATTGAGGTTCGGGTTGGAATTGGTTCTTGAAATTTGATACTCCAATCCAAGTAATATTCGAAATTAAATTGAGTATTTAAACTTGCGTAGCCCCTTAAAAAAATAAGGCAGTTCAAGCATGATTGTTGTTCTACTTTATTTATTTATTTATTTTTGCAAAATGACATGACTTTAGGCTTTGTTTTAATCGTAGGATTGAGAGCCTATGAATAAAATTTCATCACAAATTTATGGCAAAATTTCAATAGCAATAGCTTTATTACGGATGTCTTTTATTTTATGCTTGTGAAATATTTATATGAATGCCCCAAAGACACGGGTAAGAGGCTCCAATTTCAAATCAAAGAAGTCTGCGTCCTCCCCCACCCCACTCCCCTTTCCTCCCTTTTTTCAAATTTCGTTGTGTCACCCCTAAACGTGATTCCAACCTCAAGAATTAGTGTACAAAAGCTGAAAAATGTCTCAAACTCTCATAATTGTGAACTTGGAAGTTCATTTTATTAACCGTAATTTTAATTGAAAAGTGAGTATTTCATTCTCGATTAAGGGATATTTGAGTTTCGATTATTCTAGTAAATATTATATATGTAGTGTTTGACTATTGACGAAATAATGTTTATTTCATGATTGATTTGAAGAATGAACTTATTTTTGCGAAGGGATTTGATTTTAGAAAGATATTTTAACTTTATTTATTTATTTTATTTTATGAATTGAAGCTTGATTTTTAGTTTTTTTATTCTTTTTTTACAACACTCAACGAGGGTACAAGATTAGGAGCTTTAGTCATGGGTTTAGGATACCGATAATCATTGGAAATATGCTGGGAAGTTATCGTATGATTGTTTTGTTAATATAAATAAATTAAGGTCATAGTGCAATAAAACACAAGATCAATTTTTCGTCAATATATGAAAAATTCAAAGTCACAACTAAAACTTATGAAATTGTTTGGATTTAGAAAAATCTCAAACTAAAACTTATGAAATTGTTTGGATTTAGAAAAATCTCAATCTGAATACGTGCATTTGATGAGATCTAGTGAGGGTCCCAACATTAAAGTTCTTTAATTAATTTTTTTTTTTGGGTAAAGAGCATTTTTCTGAAATACTTTAATGCACTGGTGGAGATAGTGGTGGCGGTGGGAAGAGATTTATAATTGAAATATTTAAGAAAAGGGATTCATATTTGGTCTTTGGCCGTGCCTCACACTCTTACGAACTTTTTTTGCAAAGAAGTCTCTTTCGTCCCCAACCACACGCCTCTTTTCCTCCCTTTTTTCAAAGTTCTCATGAATGACACCCTACATATATTATTCTAATATGAAAGTGATTCCAACCTCAAGAATTAGTCTGCAGAAGCTAAAAAATGTCTTAAAGTGTCTCGTAGCTGTGAACTTGTAGTCCCATTTGGGCAGTAATATTAATAATTGAAAAATGAGTATTTCATTCTCCACCGCATGTTTTTAATTGACCGCCATTGACTATAGTTGCTTTATAAATAAAAATTGGTCCATAGCAAGAATCTAATGTCTTTTATTGAGCTAAGTTCATAGTTATCAAATTTGACCAAATAGCACCCATTTCGAAAACAATTTGAGTCTAATCGGGTGGTTTCTTCTTTCCCAGCCAAAGTGATCTGTATCTTTACATTTGGGATGAGTAGCACATCATTCATCCAATGCTTTAAGTCTCAAATCTCTGCCCTTTCATTTGGGATGAGTACCAAACTTTTTACAGAGGATTTTCTCCTTGTAAATGTCTCCATCAACAAAATGTAACCGGTGTAGACGTCACGGGTGGTAGGGGTGTCTATGGATTGGGTTAGCCCACGAGCTTGTTACCTAACTCAAAAAAATAGGTCTGAAATCTAATAGTTGCCCCTACTAAACTAGAGCATAATATCTTTTAACAGAGGACTTTGGTCTGACTCCAAGCACAGTAGCCCACCTAAAAAAATCCGTTAAAACTTGGCCCAAGAATCTTCCCGCCTGTTCACTCACTGTGTTTGAAAAAATACTGACCATTGAAAGTTAGGTGCATATTCCTCTAAAAAAAAAAATTATTTACTTAAGTACTAAGTGGAGTAATTTAGGATATTATTCATTATTCATTATTTACTTTTTATCTATTTTGACTCTACTTTTAATTTAAAAATATAATTTACAACAATCCTAAGTTCAAAACATTTTAAATGAAGGTACATAGAAAAAAAAGGCCCGCCCAGTGGCAAGTTGGGTTGCATGTAACCTACCCCTACCCGAATCTCGGCCCAACTTGCCCGATAACTTATCCAAGTAAGGGTTTTGGTCAACAGTACTTAGACCCAGTTCGAAAAAGGTTTCACTGGCCTAATTTGGCCCATGGACACCCCTAACGGGTGGGTTCACACCTGCTTGACGTAAATGGAGGCCCTAAGCAGAAGTTTTTAATGCGCCCTTATATATACATATATATATATATATATATAAAAGTTTACCTAAAATCACTCCTCTCACTTTTTGTGACATAAATATAGTGATTAAGTTTTTACATTCAAGTTTTGCTAATAAATCATTTTTAATGGACAATAGACCTAATTCATTCAATTTTTCTTGTGACATAATTGATTGTGAGTAGAATTTTATAAGCTTTAATTTTGAAAAACTGCTTTCAACATAAACAACTATTACGAGTATTGTCAATACTTGTTTATAAGCAATTGATACATTTGAAAAAGAATCTAGTATTTTTATATTACATATTGTTTCTATTGGAGTGTTGCAATCTGATACTTCTAATTCTGAAAATAACTCTAATATATTGATATCAAAAAATGATCATGTGTTTAAAAAATTCTCAATGATAAGGCAATATTTTTTCGAATTCATCGTGTAATGATTTTAATTTTTTTAAACAAATGGGAAAGAGTATTACACACATCAAAGCACTCCAATTCCCATGGGTTTGAGAGAATGAAAGAGAGAATTTTTGGTCAAGTTCAATCATTGGTCATTAAATTCATTGCAGCCCATTAGTGGGGTTACTTACACAAAACCTTTAATTATAGGATCTAATGAAATTGGCTGTGGATAATTGAAGTTGATAAAAGTAATTAATTAGTTCCATGCATGTTACAATAAAATGAGGAAATTATCAGCATCTACTTTCTTTGATATGCACAGAGACATTTTTGGCGATAAAATCATTCATTCTCAAGTCAAAGAAATAAAAACTAGCGAAGTAATTATCATTAACAAGTTGCAAGGAAACAAGCTAGAAAATGAAATATTATTTTAAAAATCTAATTATATAGTTTGTCTCAAATGCTCACAATTTTCTAGAAAGTCGAGCTTGATCAAAAATCTAATGTCCCTTGTTTAGCTTGGTTCGAGCTCAAGCTTGACATCATGCTAAAAGGTTAACAAAATCGATTTGATTAACAACCCTATTGACAAAATTTGATGAAATATTTATAAAATTTCATCACAAATTTAGTATTGATTCTATTATGGATGGCTTGTATTTTAGTTTGATGAAATATTTATATGAATGCCCCCAAGACACGGCCAAAAGGGTCCAATTCCATAACAAATAAAATTTTCATGACTACCACAGGCAATGATAAGAAGAATGCAATCGGGCCAAAATGAAAATCGTAACAACGTTAAAATGAGATTCTTACCTCTTCTTCAGTTCTTCTTTTTCTTTTCTTATTGTGTTTTCCTTATGAATTTCAATCAAATATCGGGGAGGATAGGGTTGATCAGTTTTCCTTTTTTTTTTTTTTTCCTGCCCCCAAGCCGTGTGGTATATTAAAAGTATTGCTTGATGGCTTCAAGGGATATGCCTCAGGTTCGATCCATGGGGAGTAGATTGTTGATCAGGTTCTGACAAGTTTAATGAAGTTGGGTCCGACTATTGCTCAAGTCGCCCCCTCTTATACCCTCTTTAGCCAAGGAAAGAGAAACCATCATCTTTATAGATATCTCTCTTACTTCATAAATATAAAACTAAGCCGTTGGGGGTGGGGTTTACATTGATGTAAAATGATGATTTTAGCTATTTATAATTGAATTTTTTAAGAAAAGGGAGCCACATTTGGTCTTTGGCCTTGTCTTTCACTCTATGAACTTTTCATGCAAAGTAGTCTACCCCCTCCCCCTCCCCCTCCCCATCCCCACTCCCCTTTCCTCCCTTTTTCCAAAATTCGTTGTGTCACCCCTAAAAGTGATTCCAACCTTAACTAGTGTATAAAAGCTGAAAAATGTCTCAAACTCTCATAATTGTGAACTTGGATCTTCATTTTACTAACCGTAATCTTAATTGAAAAGTGAGTATTTCATTCCCGATTAAGGGATATTTGGGTTTCGAATATTATATATGTAGTGTTTGACTATTACTGGAATAATATTTATATTTCTTGATTGATTTCAAGAATGAACTTACTTTTGGGAAGGGTCTTGATTTTAGAAAGATATTTTAACTTT